AAAGTATAAATGTGACAAAGAAACCGGAGAAGTAATTCACACAATGCAGACCCTAAAAATATCAGAAGTGGAAGTGAGTACAGTTCAGCATCAAAAGGAAAATATGAAATACCAAGTTAAAAAAATAAAATCTAGAAGTGCACATCAAAAATAGATTTAAAATATCCTATTTAAACATCCATTAAAATGCAATAGTCTTATCCAGTGTGACCCATCTCTTTGCAGAAACATAAAACTCTCCAGTTCTTGACAGGCTCCAAAGGCAACGCAAGTGGCATTATCAGGTGAGAGAAAAGGTCATTCACATTTTAGTGACACATCTTCAATGTCATTTCCTTCTGTAAAAGATCAAAAAAAAAAAACAATAAGTAAATTAGGTAAAAAGAAACCATTCATGATTGAAATATGGGAGCTGCATGCACTGTGGCCATCATCCTTATCCTTCCGTCACTACTTGTTAGATCCCTCATCCTGAACAAGCATGAATCATTGACCATGAATGTAGAACTGGTGCTTCACTTGGTAGTAAAGCAGGGTTTAGGGTGACCGCCCCAGCACTTGTATCTTTATAAGGCCACCGTATTGGGGGACATGCATCAGTTCTGTCACAGACCAAGGCAATGCTAACAGGAAAAATTACAAATTCTAAAAACTAGGGATGGACCTACCAGGGTTGCAGCTCCACCACTGTCCTGAAATCATTAGTTGATATTGTTTTAGAAAAAACGGTCACATGGCAATAAACAAAAATTTATCAGTACTTGGGCAAGTACCAGTACTTGTACTCGCAAAACTGGTATTGGTGCATCCCCTAAGTTATATTTATAAAAACAAAAAAACACACATTAAAAACAGATGTACAAATCTCAGGAGCTCCGTGTGCTCCTTACAAATGACAGCTGCCTCCTAACTTTTGAATTTTTCTCTAGTCTAGGAGCTCGAAAAGTATCTGTACATGTACCGAGTACTGTACTTTGTATCGGTGCATCCCTACTAAAAACATTATAAAAAGGCCCCAAAAAAGCAAGCATGCAAAACTTAAACCTTTAGACTGTAATTACAGCATGTCAGACAACACTGACGCTAGACATGTTTTGTCCACTCCTGGTTCTTATTCTTTAGCTAAAGATTAAAGAGACGCTAAACTCAGGAGTTAAAAATCTTAAAAATGCATTCAAGTACATTCACGGTTAACAATACTGGACTTTATTTGTGTATCACTCGGCTGTAGATACTCAAATCATCTCTGAATTTGTGCGGACACTGTCCTTCCTTTTAGAGAGTGGCTACTTTGGGTCCCAGTGTGTGTTGTAAAGAAGCCACCGCTCCAAACCCATTCCCGTGATGGACTACAACCTTAGGTTTACTAATTTGTACTGATATTGTAGTCCATCATTTGTATAAAAAAAAAAAAGAAGAAAGGAGGAAGAAAGAATAAGGAGGATACAGATGTTGTACTTACCAGTGGCTCAAGTTCCTTGGTGTCAATCAGATGAAATTCTTTTACAAAATGATAAAAGTGTTTGTAGCAGGTATTCACATGAGCCTCTGCACCCATTTGGATGATTCTGTCAAAGTGATGAATGTAGACATGAACAAAGACCCGAAAAAGTCTTGACAGAATTTTTTTCACAACCTGCAGGAAATTCTTAGGGAAGGGAGTACCTG